GATGCGGGACTCGATCCCAGGACCCTGAGATCATGACCTGAGCCGAAGGCAGACGCTTAACCATCTGAGCCACCCAGGCGCCCAATAAATAAAATCTTAAAAAAAAAAAGACCCAAACACTCCAAACTCCTCAGAATATAGAGCTCTGCCTTCTGGATCCTCAACTTCTCTTAATGAAAGTAATAATAAGACCAATATTACTAGATGCCAGGCACAGTAAAGGGCTCTCCACACATTATCTTTGGCTGAACACTTGTAACCTACAAAATGAGGCACTGAGAGTTTCCTTTGTTTGCTCAAGGTCACCCAGCTGGGTCTTTTTTTTTTTTTTTTAATACTCAACAACATATTTTATTATATTTCTCAGTGGTGGTTCCTTTCTTCCCCTTTTATAAAACCCAGCTAAGGCTTTAAGAAAGGCTTAGTTTAATATAACTTACTATATAATTAGTTTTTCATTCATTTAATTTTAAAAAAAGTCCAAAAATATGAGTTACAATGCATATTACTTTTGACAATAAATGACATATTTAACACAACCTATTCTGTATAATAAAAAATACTGTACTTATTTTACCATCAAAAGCTATCTTGAGAAACTTTCTATACACATTAAGTAAAAATACTAAACTAATATGTCAGTACTTCCAATGTAAAAATAATTGGGTTACCTAGCACTAATTTTTGTTTAACTACTAATCTTACAAATTGAAAATTGCTTTTCAAACCCATGTTCTAAAAACTGCATTTTGGAAATGCTTTTTTTTTATGATGGTGGCAACATATAATGATGAAAAGAATATTTAAGTTATCAAACAGTATAAAAATACATATGACTACATAAATATGAAAATAGCCCCATTTCTTGACTTTAAGTGTAGACCTATACCTTTCTTAAATTATATCAAAAATCTTAGAAAACATCTAGTTAACTAGAATATACAGAAAGACTGTAAACAGACTAGCTGGAACAAGGCTTTATCAAAACCTATAATGATAAGGCAATTTATTCAAAACACCTATTAACTAGAATAGAGTAGTCACAGTGGGAATGACTTGTTTCTATTATTTAACAGCAGATATTGTAGTCTTTTATTCCTAAATTCAATTATATCAAAAGAATAAAGTGTTAAAATTTCACTTAAAGTAATCCAGTTTCATCAGTTTTTAGAGAAATATAATACTTCAAAACAATGAAAATAAATCAGTGTGTCTTAACAAACTAAATTCATAAATGAAGTTTTAGTCTTCTTAACAGGTGTTGGCCAAAACTGAAATTGTAGAATAATCCTCACATACTCTGAGTTCAATTTAGATATCATCAATGTCTTCGTCATCATCTCCAATATCATCAAACTGGATTTCATCATCATCTCCAGGACCAAATGTATCTGTTTCATTGATTTTAGCATGTTCTGGAAGCTCGCCATATGCCTTCAGACTTCTAGCTTCATCAGCATTGTACTTTAAAATTACATCAGCTTTGTTATCCTGGTAGTCTCAAAGACCAACCAATATAATGTCGGAGGTATTTATCCAAACCTTTTTTCTCAATTTTCCTCTGATATGACATAATCTCTTTACACCATCAAAACACATAGCTTCTAATCGTCCATTTCCCAACATTTTAATTACCTGAGCATACTCTTGTCCATCCTCTTTAAACACCAATTCTCTTTTTTCAGATTCATTTTCATTCTTACCCCTACGCCTGTTTTTACCTCTTTTACCTTTATTCTTTGGCATGGTGGTGACTGCTACCTCCCGGCGCTTTCGACTTCTTTCCCGTGGAGGTCACCCAGGTGGGTGCAGTCCAGTTTGACTCAAGAGCCCCTTACTCTTGGGACATCTGGGTGGCTCAGTGGGTTAAGTGTCTGCCGTGGACTCAGGTCACAGTCCCAGGGTCTTGGGATCAAGTCCCACATGGAGCTCCTTGCTCAGCGGGGTGTCTGCTTCTCCCTCTGCCTGCCGCTCCCCCTGCTTGTGCTTGTGTGCGCTCTCTCTCTCTGACAAATAAATAAATAAAATCTTAAAAAAAAAAAAAAAAAGATTCTCTCTCCCTCTGCCCCAGCCCCATGCTCACATATGCGCATGCGCAAAGCTTTCTCTTAAATAAAGAAACCTTTTTTTAAAAAAAAAAAAAAGAGCCCTTACTCTCAACTACTTTGCTAGATTGGCTCCACTTACTCAAAAATTCTTAGCAAGTGAGTGGGAAGGTTTCCACATCTTATCAACTTTCTCTCTTCTCAAGTGGGGTAGGTTTCCACATCTTGTCAACTTTCTTCTCAAGTAGGGTAGAAAGTCAGTCTGGAAAGTTGGAAAAAGAGGCAAAGAGCTAGCCTTCATTCCTTTCCTATAGAGCTCAGCCTCAGCACCTCCCCGTCCTCATCTACTCCCTGCCTGACCCCAAAGCTCTTCCATCCAATTTCATCCTCATCCTCATCTTCTCCATCCTCATTCCCATTGCCATCCAATCCCACCTGATTCCTTCTTCATCCCTGTTCCATTTTCATCCTTATCTTTATCCCTTCGAGGCAGAATTTGCGTTGGGCTTTGTCCCAAGGCCTGAGATCAACATCTGTGACCTGAGGTAGAGGTTTGTTCCCTTTTACACTGTTAGGATGAACGTTTCCATGAATTTCCTCTAAGTCCACTTCCCCAGTCCTCTTTCCCTGAGGTATTTTTGTGGCTTCCCTTGTTTACATAATTTTCCAGAATCTGTCCTCTCCCCTACACCCACTTGTGTAGTCGATGACCTCATTTTCTCAACCCAAAGGCACATCATGTGTTGGCTGCCTGTTCCTGGCTTACCCCAGGGGCCCTTACTCTTATCTCAGCAACAAATGGCTTACTAGAAATCTGGGCAAGGTTAGACTGAGCAGCCAGATCACAAGAATATATACCTAGTGTTGACATCTAGAACCTGGCTGGAGTAGGGAGTCAGAACTGAGGCCAGGCCACCTGAGGCTCTTCAAGATCATGATGGCACGTACCTCTGTTGGACTGGACATGCACTTGACATTGTGTGGTGTCTGGTCAAGCATGATCATGGAGTCTTCAGGAGATCCTCAGGCTCTAGCATGGCAGGGAGGGTAGGGCTGAGTAGAATGTTATGGATAATCATGGCAGCCATATCAACAACATTCTCTAGTCTGGCAAGGAGAGGTGAGTTAAGATGGGGCAGATAAATACTTTGAGTAGTCTTTAGAAAGGAATAAGGAAGGCACTGATGGGCCAGATTTGGGAATAAGCTAAGGTCGAGACTTAAGGGACTAGAGTTTAGGATTAATCACTGGTTGTGTACCAGTCAGGAGCAGGAGGGCTGGAAGCTCATAGGCTTGATGGTGTTAATAAATAGGTAGATTAATAATCATCACATATTGCAATTATATAATACATTCTTATAGTATAGTGCAAGCCTTGATAATTTTTTCTTTCTTCTTTCCTTCCTTCCTTCTTTTCTTTCTTTCTTATTCTTTATTTTCCTTCCTTCTTTTCTTCCTTCCTTCCTTTTCTATTTTTTTTTTTTAAATGCAAGTGACTAACTTAACTTTGGATTTTGACTGAGGCATTGGCTCAGTCAGTTGAGCATCTGACTCTTGGTTTTGGCTCAGGTCATGATCTCAGGGTCCTGGGATAGAGCCCTGCCTTGGGCTCTATGCTCAGTGCAGAGTCTGCTCCTCCCTCTCCCTCTGCTCCTCCCCCTGCTCTCTTTCTCTCTCATAAGTGAATAAAATCTTTAAAAAAATGGTCAAAGTACCAAAGAAGACATACAAAAGATCAACAGGTACGTGAAAAGATGCTCACTATCACTAGTCATTAGGGAAATGCAAACTAAAACCTCATGCCTGTTAGAATAGCCATCATCAAAAACATAAGAGATAACAAATGCTGGTGTGGCTAAGAAGAAAAGGGACCCTTGTGTACTGTTCTGTTAGGAGGATGGTAATTTGGTGCAGCCACTGTGAAAAACAGTATGGAAGATCCTCTAAAAAGAAAACATAGAGCTACTATATGATCCAGCAATTCCACCTCTAGACATATGGTGGATATGTCTAAAGGAAACAGAAACGCTAACTTGAAAAGGTATTTGTACTGCCATATGCATAGAAGCATTATTCACATTAGCCAAGACACAGAAATAACTCAAGTGTCCATCAGTGGATAAATGGATAGAGAAGTTGTGGTATGTAAGTATATATATGGAATACTATTCAGTCATAAAAATTGAGGAAATTCTACCTTTGTGGTGACATGGATGGAGCTTGAAGGCATTATGCTGAGTGAAATAAGTCACACAGAGAAAGATAAATACTGTATGACCTCACCCATATATGGAACAACAACAACAAAAGCCTCCAAACTCATAGAAAAAGAGATCAGATTTGTGGTTACCAGAGGTGGGGGTGGGGAGGGGGAAGTGGAGAAAGGGGATCAAAAGGTACACACTTCCAAGTATAAGATAAATAAGTACTAGGGATGTAATGCACAACATTACATTAGCTAACACTGCTGTGTGATATATAGGAAAGATGTTAAGAGAGTAAATCCTAAGAGTTCTCATCACAAGGAGAAAAAAAATGATTTTTTCTTTTCTTTTTTTCTTCTTATGGTAGTTACATGAGATGATGAATGTTAGCTGAAGCTATTGTGGTGATCATTTCACAATATATGTAAATCAAACCATTATGCTGTACTTCTTAAACTTACACAGTAATAGAGTGATACAGGTTAATTAATTCTCAATAAATACAGAAAAAAAGAGGCAGTCATTTAAGAGATGGCTATCTTGAATAAACACGTTGCCAGCCACACGACTAGATAAAGAGCCAGGCTGCGATCCCTCCCACCTCACCAGTCAAAGCTCCATTGTTTTAGAAATCTATGTTGAAGTTTGTTTGATAACTGACTATTTGAGCTGCTTGTTTTTTCTCCTCCTGTACTTTCAATTCCCACTCTTATGGGGTTTTTTAATTTTTTTTAGAGGTGGTGAGGGGCAGAAAGAGAATCTTAAGCAGGCTCCATGCTGGGGCTCAATCTCACAACCCTGAGATCATAACCTGAACCAAAATCAGGAATTGGATGCTTAACTGACTGAGCCACCCAGGCACCCCTCTTATGGGTTTTTTTAAAAAAGATTTTATTTTTAAGTACTCTCCACCTAACATGGGGCTCAAACTCACAACCCTGAGATCAAGAGTCACATGCTCCCCCTACCAACCCAGCTAGCCAGATGCCCCTCCACTCTTGTTTTAAATTCACCAATAAAGAGTGAGCTTGCAAAACCCTAAGCACCCCCCTCTACCCCAGTAGAAGCAGAATCCCAGGCCCGAGCTATGACCTCACTGTGTGGCCCCAGGTGTGTCATGTAATTTCCAATGCTTACAAGTAATAAACCTCATCTCTTTCAAAGTCTCCTAATGGTTATTCCTGAGGGCGTCTTGCAATCATAAGGAGAACCCCAAGGGCTGGTCCAGCTACAACACTGATTATTGGTAGGCTGAGACTGGCACACAACACATACATTTTCTCATCTGAATCATTTTCTGGGCCAGTATTGCTGCCTGACTTCCTAATACCCACATAGACATTTTAATATATGAGGAAACAGACTCAGAGAAGTTAAGGGTTTTTCCTTTGTAGCTACTTAGGGGTAAAGTTGGCACCAGAATCCTGGTCTCTGATCCAGCGTTCTTTCACTTCTGTCAGAGAGATTCCTTCAATATAGAGGGTTGGGAGCCAAAGGCATTTGGCCTGTAGGAAGAGGTTGGGTGGGACCAATGAGGAGAGGAGCCTGGGGCAGGCATATGGAGATGGGCAGAAACTCTCCCTGCCACAGGTTGGCTGGAGAACTCTGTGACCCAGCAATTCCACTCCTAGATATATACCCAAGAGGAATGAATGCATTATGTCCACCAAAGGCAGGTGCGAGAATGTTCATTGACGTTTTATTGAGAATTATCAAAAACTAGAAACAACCCAAATGTCCATCAATAGAAGAATGGATAAACATTTTGGCACATCTCTATAGTGGAATACAACTCAGCAATGAAAATGAATATACTACTGATAAACACAACAATATGGATGAATCACAAGGACATTGTGCTGAGTGAAAGAAGCCAGTTTCCAAAGGATGCATTCAGTATGACCAAAACTAATCTGGAGTGACAGAAATCACATCAGTGGTTGCTTCTACTGGTTGAGGGAGACTGACTGGAAGGGGTACAAGGAAGTTTCTGAGGGTGATGGAAATGTTCTATATCTTGACTTGGGTAGTGTTAACACATGTACACATAACTTTAAGATTTGTACACTTCGCTGTATACAAATTATACTTAAATTTATATTTAAAAAAACCTAAAGCTCAGCTTTTCAGGAAAGGGTCAGTTACAGAAGGAAAAGGAAGTGTCTCAAAGAGCCGAGTATGGAGGTGACATCCCAGGCTGCCTCCTGTGTGGGGTGACCAACTTTGTCTGAGTTGCCTGGGATTGAGGCGTTTCCGAGGACAGGAGACTTTCAGTGGTTGTATGGAGAGAGTCCTGGGCAAACCAGGACAGCTGGTCACCCCGCTTCTGTGGGAATAGGGAACTGAGAGAGAGTTTTGGGCATCTGGAAGACAGGCTGGATTCCGTTGGTCTCAGAGCCCAGGGGCTGCTCCACAGGCTCAGAAAGGGGCCACAAAATGTTCACAGCAGTAGGCATTGCTGGTTGACCACTGGAACATCAGCACTAAGGAGCCATGCTTGTTCTCTGAGCTCCCTTTAGAAGCAAGAAGGGGTCGGGAGCAGAGCTGGAGGGACAAGGCCTCAGAGACTGAATAGAGTGTGACTGTCCAGGTTCAAAGCATCACGGCTTCTGAGGTAGGCTCTGAGGTGAGTCCCACTTAGCTGTCTCTTCACATCAGAGATCCCCACCCTCATCCCTCAAGTGCCTTGGCCAATACCAAAGCAACACATCGATTTTGTGCAAGGAAAACAGAGACATGGGGACCTATCAGAGGCAACCGCTGTTGGACCTCTTCACCTCTACTGATGTTACAAGGCAGGGGCTGTCCCCACCCTGCTTTTGTTTGCCATAACCTGCTGTAACTTGAGCCAGAGGGGCCTTCTCTACCTTCTCAGAGCATAGGACAGATGGGGCCATGAGGGAGGGGCGCTTCCAGCTTTCTAGCTGAGGCCTGAGGTGGATTCTGACAGAGAAACTGTTGGCAGGGCTGCCCACAGAGGGGAAACAGGAACCAGGAAGTTCTCGGAGGTTCTCAGAAGTTCTTGTAGTGATGCACAAAGTGGGCCTGGTCCTGCCTGTTGATGAGCTGACAGGCCTTCTCTACATTCTTGGTCATTCCTGGAGGGCCACAGCTGAACACCCCAATCTTCGGTACCTGTCAAGTGTGTTGAGGGGAACGGTTGCAGAAAGGAGAGCCCTAAAGGCTTAAGATGCTCACCCCTGGGAAGAAGCTGCTTCTCAAGCCTGCTGGAATGACCAAGGCATTGACCCCAGCCCTAAGGAGGAGGTTTGAGCTGGGGGCAGCAGGGGGTTGGGCTTGAAGCCTTCCTCCACGCTTGACCCTATCCTGGGGCTGGCATGGGGTGGTCTTCCCCTCAGATTACATCTGCAGGGTGCTTGAGGGCAGGATATCCTGGAAGGGGAAGGTCAGGGTCCCAGGACAGGTGGGGTGGGACTGACCTGTGGGTGGACCTCCTGCAGGGACCTGAAGAAGGGCTCAAAGGGGGGGCGGCCAAAGTGGGTGATGGAACGCAGGCCCGTGAACAGACTCCGGTTCAGCACCTTCTGGAAGTGCCGCTCACAGATGTACTGGGAGAGGAAGTAGAGGAGGAAGGTCACAACCAAGCAGAGCCAGGGTCAGTTCTTAGTCTAGATGGTGACCCACCTAGCCGCCCTGGCTGGCTGGCCCTGACCTACCAGCATGGTGGTCCTGAGGTCAAACTTCTCGGCCAGCTGGGTGATGTAGATGTGCACGGACACCAGGTCCTGGCGGTCATTCTCCTCCACCTCCCGGATGATGTCAGCCAGCCACTCAAACTGCCGCTGGGTTCGCGTCACCCAGATGAAGTAGATCTGGGGACACATGGCGGGAGCTCAGGACCTGGCTCAGCTCAAGTTTCCTCCACTCCAGATGCCTTCACCTGAGAGGCCAGAAAGCCTCTGACCACCCACAGACACCAAACCTCAGCAGCCCCACAAGCTTTTAACCAACAGACCCCAGCAGAGGCCCTTCTTTCTATACCTCCTACCCTCCCTCAAATGTTGGGCACGTGGACAACTGCGTACGAACGACCCCAGCAGAGTCAGTGTCTAGGAGCTTAGGGCTTTTCCTCATATTACTCTGCTGTGACATGGGGACACAATCAGGCAGTCTGTTCCCATTCCTTCAAAGAATGAGAGAGAGACACTCACCTTTTTACAGAGCATTTGGCTGCCCAAGGATGACTTGAAGACTAGGTCTTTGAGGATGGAGGCAAAGGGGGTGACCCCAATGCCCCCTCCCACCAGCACTGACACCTCAAACTTATGCCACTCCTGGTGGCCCTCTCCGAATGGTCCATCAAGGTACAGCTGCCAACCAAAGGGAGAGAAGAGATGAGCCTGGTCTGGCCTCAGCTCTGAGGTTAGAAATGGGCGTGGGGCAGGGAGAAGAAGGATATAAGACATCCCAGCCTCTTCTGAGGCACCCCAGCCTGGACTTGCGCTGGCTGGAGCTTCTAGTCTCAGGGTTGGGGAGGGTGGGAACCCTTTGCCAATGCTGAAGCCCCAAAATTGATTCCCAGTGGTGGACACCTTTGGGTATCTGGCACAGCCATCTCCCGTTGGAGGTGAGTAGATCTCCCTGAGCTGAGTGGTCCAGGGCCCTGCCGCCCGGATGTGCAGGCTGAGAGTGTCCTCATGGGGTGCAGAAGTCAGTGTGAACGGGTGGTACTCAGTGGTCCCCAGAGCCAAGCAGGCGATCCGCACCCACTGTCCCGACTTGTACTCAAAGCCTTGGGGCCGCTGGAACTGCAGGTGGGTGACTCCTGGAGGTCACGGGCAGGCAAGGGCAGGGATGAGAAGCCTTGCTCCTAGTACCTGAGGACTGGCAGATACCCTGTCTTCTCCACACACCTGAGGCACCCTCCAACTCCCACCCTGACCATAGCTGAGCTTCAGGCCTGTTCTCTCTTTGTTAAAAAAGTTCATTAAAAGGAAAACAAAAAGTTGATTTGTGAGTGCAAAGTGTGTACTAACACCATGCTGAGGCTTTGTCCTTGAGTAATCTTAACTGACATAAAGTTGAAATGGGGTTAATTTTCTTACTGAGTCCTGAAGATTAAATGGTCCCACAACAGCTAAAATCATCTGCCAGCCTCCACAGTGATGTGAACCCCCACTCTGGTCAACAGGGACTCTCAAAAACAGACTCTCGAAATGTGGGCCAATTGCCCATCTCTGAAGGGGGGTTATTCTAGGAGAAGGGAGGGGTATATATGGTTCTCCAAGCTGCACCCAGGCCACACACAAGTGGGGGGGTTTGTGTTGTCCTTAAACCTCTCTGTATGAGGCCTGGGTGGCTCAGTCGTTGAGCTTCTGCCTTCAGCTCAGGTCATGATCCCAGGGTCCTGGGATTGAGCCCCCCATCCGGCCCCCTGCTCAACAGGAAGCCTGTTTCTCTCTCTCCCACTCCCCCTGCTTGTGTTCCTGCTCTCGCTATCTCTCTCTCCGTCAAATAAATGAATCACATCTTTAAAAAAAAAAACAAACAAAACAAAATAAACAAAACACCTCTCTGTATGCACTTCCAACTGCCTCTTCTCATGGTCATTTCTCATTGTTTGCAAGTCGTCCTGGGGGCAAACACAGCTGGGGCTCCATCAGGAAAGTTGCACGGGTTCCCCAAGGGGCTATCAGAAGCCTCAATGGTGGTCTGGAGGCCTGGGGAGCTGTCTCCACACATCCCATGAGTTGGCTTCCAATGTTCCCTCCCTGGGGTCAGGCTGGGCCTGGTTACCTGAAGGCAGCAGCTCCGCCTTCACCACACTGATCTCCACCTTCTTCCGGCTCAGGCTCACCAGCTTGTCTCCCCCATAGATTAGTGCCGGGACCAGGAAGTAGATGTGGAAACGGGGCAGCTGGATCAGGCCGAAGCTGCCGTGGATGATGAGCTGGAGACACAGCCAGTTAGTACAGCTCAGGCCCAGCCAGGCCCCCTTCATACACTCCTGTTGTCCAGACACTTCCTGCCTGGGCCCTCAGCCTGGGCTGGGTAGATGAAGCTGGTATAGACTTTAGAGACTGGGGTCTCCCACCTCAGGGTCTCACTCTGAGATCTTAGGTCCAATCCAGCCTGCTCCCTACCCTGCTCATCCCTGCCCCATGGCCTAGCCTTGCCCAGAGGAAGCCTCACCAGCACGTAGAGCAGGATGTAGAGGTGGTGGGTCAGCCAGAAGCCCCGGAAGCTGCGGCGCCGGAAGTGGTGGGAGGCGAAGACATACATGATGGCCAGGACCAGGAGTAGGAGCACCCCTGTCATACCTGGGAGCAGGGGGACAGGCTCAGAGAATACTCTCAGGACCTCTACGTGGGCTGACAATACAACAGAGCATTCCCCCACTCTGCCCTCCTTCTCCGACCTCCCTGGCCCCCAGAACAGCTTGCTTGCAGGGGCTGCAGCTGGGGCTTGTCCTGGAGACTAGAAAGAAACCATGACCACTACAAACAAGGATGTACTCATGGGAAGATGAAGACAAGCAGAGATCCTCAGATAGAACCCCCAGACCTCACATACAGCCCCACTCCCTACCTGGGACTGTCTGGAAGAACCACCAGTAGAACTTTTGGGGAAGCTGGGACCTGTAAGACAAAGATATATGGAGCTTCTGGCTGGGGTAGGTTTGGCTCCCCCATTGTCACAATGTGATGCTGCTCCCGCCGGCCCTGACTGCTGAGTTTATTGGGGCTCCACTCAGATGGCCACGGGTCCGTTCCAGGAACATGGCACCCAGCCTCCCATAGATCTACCCTCAGCTCTATCGGTCGTTCTTCCTCCTGTGTTATCTTGAACTCTCCTACTGTAGCTGACATTTGCTTCGTAAGCTCCGTGGGGGCAAAGGTGTGGCTCTGCTCTGCTCATTGCTCTAATCCCTATGCTCAAACAATGCCAGGCACAGAGTAGATACTCAGTATTTGCTGAATGGTTGTGTGAATTTGGCCTGCTTGTTCTCTGGCACCTGGATGGGCACGTAAGATGTGCTCCATAGATGTTTGCCCAGTGAATGGACGATAGGCTAAGATGCCATGCTCTATGCCAGGTACACGTGGGAAAGGGTCTCCAATTCATCTCCTGAACATCTTTCCTGGCTAATCATGGCCAGCTTCCTTCCAGGGCAAGGAAGTCACCTTTCAGCTTCCCCAGCGGGCTTCTCACTCTCATTCAAAGGAAGAGTAGTGTGTCTAGGGCCATCTATTTCTTTTCCATTATGCCCTTCAGCCTGCCCCAAGTGTCCCAAGGGGGAGCCCTCCCCAGAACTGACCCATCATTCACAAAGACGTCGGGGAAGATGCAGGCCAGCAGGCTGAGGGGACTGACTGAGAAGATGAAGACATTGACCACGTGGCCAGCACTGTGCAAAACTGAGAGAGACCCTGTTAGAGATGCCACCCAGGGCCGATGGTACCTCCCACCCTGAGGGACAGAGGAGGCCCAGGGAGGAGAGAGGGGAGTATAAGTAGCTCCGGTCTCCTCACTGTTTCCCCCACAGCTAGACCCAGGGGGCTGCGACAGTGGGGGCGAGGGTGCCCAGGAGCCACGCACTGGCCAGGACAACAGCAGCCATGGCAATCCAGCGATGGAAGTCCACGGCGGCGTCGAAGGGCACGTAGCGGTTGAGGAAGGTCTCTCGCAGGAAGGTGATGAGGTTGCGGCACATGGTGAGCAGGATGTAGGAGAACATGAAAGAGATGCTGGCGGCCGTGCCCCGGGACAGGATGATACCCACAAAGGTGGTCTCTGCGATGCCCGAGGGTGGCGAGGCAAAGGCATAATCTGGGGAGGGGGCGAGGGGTGGATCAGCATGGCCCAGAGGCTGGAGGCCCGGGCCTGAGTCGGCACACCCGGGGGCCAGTGGGGAGAGCCACCAGAAGGCTCTCCACATCTCCCTTCCCACTGCCCGCAACCCGGAGCTCTTACAGTAGGCCCGCTCTGCAAACAGGCCCGCACAGATGGCAGAGAAGACGGCAACGCACACGATGTGCCGCCGGTAGTTCTCCACGAAGCGCTTGTACTGCCGAAGCTTCTGGGCCAGGAGGCCCCGCTGCATCTTCTCCTTCAGCGCCTCCGTGTACAGCCGGGGATTGGGCCCCACCGCCCTGCAGCCATGGGAAGCAGGTGGCCGTGAGACCAGGGCACCCCAGCCTCCCCTGAATGCCACCCCATGAAGGAGACCTGGTAACCTGGCAGGGTCAAGAGGGGCCAGAAGAGATGAAGGAAACAGCATCCAGGGAGTAGACTCCTCTCCCCACCCCAACTTTTACCTCTCATCTTTATTTGCTCCATCTACCCCCACTCTTCTGTCTCCCCACTACTCCACTTCATCTTCCTCTGTCCGTCTGTCCTTCCCTCTTGCTGCTCCCTGCACAGGCCTTGCTGCTGTGCCCAAAGAAGGCAGGAGCCAGGAGACCCCTTCCTGCCATCTCAGTATTGCCTCTGAGTGCCAAGCCCCTGCCTGATGATGAGGGTGCAGAGGTTGGAAGATGTTGAAGAATCCTTTGACTCTGTGGCCCACCAGTCAGGGAATGAGACACATGACCTGGTGTGTCCAGGGGGCTGGGCAGGGCCAGAGACTCTGAGACTTCTCCCCATGTTTCCTTGGGCCCAAGGTTCTGGAAAATACTCACTTTTTGCCAAACCTCTTCTTCAGCCCAGGGCCTCCCAGCTCTGGGGCTTCTGAGGCAGGGAGCTCCAGTTTCTGGGAGCAGGAGCTGAGAAATGGAAAATGGGGCTTATTCTCCCCTTGTCTTTGCAGCCAGGAGAAGAACCCCCAGACCAGAACTTCAGGAGATGGGGATGGATCCTGGGACCCATCCCTGCCCAGAGAACCTGTCCATAAAACTGGTCAGAGAGAAGCCAGGCAGGAGAAGCAGGGCAAAATGAATGAATATGATCCGGTCATCTGTTTTAGAGAAGGATTCTGTCCTGGAGTGGCAGGGAGAGAGCCAGGCTCCTGAGCCACATGGGGTGTGGGAAGCACTGGAATTTGGGCCAGGATCAATCATGGACTAAGAGCTACTTTCAGAGGGCAAATACCTGGTCCCAGGGACTGACTCAGCCAGCCCTACTTCCTTCATTTCTCTTCAGGGGACCTGCTGATACCCCATTCCTACTCACCGTTCCCCCGGAGTCCGAGTGATGAATGAGACTCGACAGCCGATGTTTGGTTTAAAGATGCCTCCAACACCTGAAGTGAAGAACAAGAGTCTGGAAGCCTGGGAGACTGCTCCCACCCACTTCTCTAGGAAGGCTGCCACGGCACTTGCTAGTGACTTTGTCACGTTCTCATCTCTTGTTCCTGCCTTGTTCCCCTCACTGCCCACACTGAGCACCCATTGTACACAGGGCAGCCACCGCTAGACGAGGTGGTGACTTGGCACAATTAGGAAGGGGAACCGCTGCAGGCAGATGCAACCCTGCATCCTTTGTATAAAGAAAATAATGCCTCTTCCTCTGACTAGATACGCCCCAGGCCAATGTGCATGAGCTTAGTGAGTAGCATGTAGGCTGGATTTCAGCCCACCGGGACCTCTCAGGAGGCATCTTTGTGCAGTGCACAAATTGCACAGCTGTGTGTGACACCCTAAGTCCCTGCTCTATACTAGGCACAAAAGACTTGGGGAGAAATAAAACCTGGGTCTTATCCACCAGTAACTCTCATTTTGAAGGAACACCCCTCCCTGACTCCTACCACTTCTTACATACACACCTCCACCTTTGACGCAGAGCTGCATGAATCGGAGCTCACTGTCATGGTCCTGCAGCATGAAGTGGAAGTCCTCCCACGTCAGCTCCTCCTTATCCTGGAAGCCGGACTCCCGGAACATGGACTCCACCACCTCCTTCAGCTGGGCCTTGGACAGGCAGTTGTTGGAGATCTCGATGAAGGACCTGGGGGAGGAGGAGAGACAGAACCACCTGTCATCCGGCAAGGTCAGGTTCAGGCAGGCACAGGGTGGGGCGGGCCCCAGATTATCTAATGTGATTACCAGTGACCCGGGAAATGGCACTGAGAAGGTGTTCATCGAGCCTGCAGCTGATGTGAGGCTGGGTGGGGTGGCCAAAAGTTTGAAACTTAAAGTGACTTTGACCAATTAGAGAAAGCAGCCCTCAAACAAGGGGGCATTGAGAGGTGAGGTGAACGTCCATTCAGTGTAGGGACACTTCCAGATGGGCCATGGACTTCTCGCGTGGCAGGCTCTCTGCCCCCTCTCTCGTGTTGACACATCCCACGCCACCATTGGCCTCTCCCTTTCACAGTCCAATGGGGGCACAGATAGCCCGGGTGTGGGGGGAGGAGATGTAGCTACAAGGCTGCTGCTTCCTTGTGCCAACACCCTAGGGTGCACGCAGGCGTGTCTCCACACCCCATCTGATAGAACCCAGAGTGGCAGATGCAGCGGCCATACTTTTTTCTTAGCTTGTGCTTTGGGATACAAACCAACCAACCATGCACGTTTGTGTGAGTCCAACAGAAAAAGACCTTGGTGTGCATGGCACAGCAAACACATTAAAAAAAGGCATCGTCCAAGTGAGACTGAGCAAGAGTCACAACTGGGTAAAGGAGGAGATGGTGGTTGCTCAGCCCTGGGGGTCAAGGACCCTCTCCTGGATTCCCTAGAGCCTCACCCAGGCCTGGGCCCGCAATGGCACACCCAGTGAGGGATGGACAGCAGCCGGCTTCACCCTTGCCTTTTAAAGATTGATTGATTGATTGATTGATTTGAGAGAGAGAGATTAGGGGGAAGAATGGAGGGAGAGAATCTCAAGCAGGCTCCACACTGAGCATGGACCCAACGCAGGGTTTGATCCCCCAACCCTGAGATCATGACCTGAGCTGAAATCAAGAGTCGGACACTTAACCGACTGAGCCACCCAGGCAGCTTCACCCCAGCCTTTCAGACGCCCATGCCCAGTTGTGGGATCTGGGCTGCAAGAGGGATGCGGCAGTTAGGGGGAATGCTGAAAGCAATGGAAAGGCTTGAGGTAGGAAAGGTAAAAGACTCCGCACCATTTTATGCATTCTATTTATTCATTTGCTCATTTATTCCACCTGATTCAGGTAAGTTTGTTTTGAATACCTGCTGTGTGCCAATCACAGTGCAGAAGAGGTAGATGCAGCGGGAAACAAAGGAGAAATACGACCCCTGGCCTTATGGAGCTGAAGAGGACTCTATTACCGAAACAGTGTCTTCAGGAATAAGAAGTCTATGCACTAAAAACTGGACTTTTTTTTTTTAAGATTTTATTTATTTATCTATTTATTTATTTATTTGCGAGAGAGAGAGAAAGAGAGAGAAACAGCACGAGAGGGGAGAGGGTCAGAGGGAGAAGCAGGCTCCCCGCTGAGCCGGGAGCCCGATGTGGGCTCGATCCCAGGACCCTGGGACCACGACCTGAGCCGAAGGCAGACACTTAACCAACTGAGCCACCCAGGCGTCCTCAAAACTGCTCTTTATCAGCACACCATAATCAGAAATAGCTTACGCAGCAGGAAGAAAGAAGGTTTGGAATATAGAGGAACTTCCCATGTTTCTCCTCCCACATGTCATGGTGATTAATACAGGAAGAGTGACCAAGGTCATCTGTCCTCCATCCATTATTTCACAGTGCAAAGCACAGTGTTATGTATGGTAACAAGAGTTTACAAAGGTCCAAAGGCATCCAAAACGGGCTAGTAGACTTCTGTTATTAGTCATATTGGTTTGGTTGTTGTTGTTTGTTTGTTTGTTTTTAACTAGGGAGGGAGAATTTTCTGGCTGGTATAGACAGTGCAGATAATAGACCCTCCTGGAGGCAGGGGCCTGGCCAGATAAACTTAAGAAGCTGGAGGCTCTGAGAATCTAGGAAGCAGTAGCTAAGCCACCTTTCAATACAGATGGTCACATAGCCTCCTCGCCCACCCTCTGATTTGACTTTCCCTGTGTCAAACAGCAGGGAGTCTCAGAACTGGAAGGGCCCATACCATACCGCATCATGGTGAAGAACTCATCCTTGGAGAGGAAGCCATTTGCATCAAGGTCATACATGGTGAACATCAGGTGGGACTTGTCCTCTGGGGAGCCTGGGAAGAGAAAGAAGGATGCAGGTCACCTCTGTGCTGAAAGATTGCTGGTTCCTGGAATGGCCCACCCTCCCCCTACCTTTCATGAAGACCACCAGGATGTCCAGAAACTCCCGGAAGGACAGGTAGCCATTGCCATCTTTGTCAGCCAGGGAGAACATGGACTCCACAAACATGTCCTGGGGCTTGAGGCCCAGGGACTCGGCAAACTCAGCTCTGCTCAGCTCGCAAGTCAGGGCCTCCCGTACCTTCTGTGATGAGTCCAGGGGCAGGGTCCCTGCGTCCGCCTTGTCGATGTCCAGCACCTGCACTCGGGCAGCAGCAGAGGGAGCGAGAGAGAATGAGGTGAGGCCTGGGCTGGATACAATTCAGTGACCCTTTCCATCTCCCCAAAGTCCAATTCAGAAAGGGTGAGCCCTGGTGGCCATTCCCGGTCCTTAGATATACTTCTGACTTGGGCCTCTGCTCTCCTGTTGAGGTGGTGACTCAAATCTCTAGCAGCCAGTCCATTTTCTCCCTGGACCCAAGATCCAGGAGCTTTATAGAGTAGGAATGGTGCTAGGTCTCAAGGGGGGAGGGTGGGAATGAGAAAGGGCAAAGATGGGGTTGCAAAATGAAAGAGCCTATACTGGGGACAGAAGATGAAGTAGACAGGAGTGGAAAGGCAGAAAGAGGCTAGGGATATGTTCTTTTGTCAATTTAGACAGGGCTACCACGTGCCTGATTTGGTCTCTGCCCATTATGCAAAGATTTTAAAAGTCCTATACATGTAACTACCATTTGTTAAATGCCTACAATGTACCAAGCACCTGGGCTAAACACTATACATAGAACAGTGTTTTTCAAACCTGAAAGTGTATCAGAATCCCCTGGAGGGCTTGTGGGCCCCAACAGCAGAGTTTCGGATTTACTAAGTTGGGTGGGGAGTGCTGAGGCTTTATATTTCTAACAAATCCCCAGGTGAGGTCCGGTGAGGTGGCTACTGCTGGTCCAGGGGCCAAGCTTTGAGAACCACTGATATGGACTATCTCACTGAATCGTCACAGCAACTCAAGGTGGTGGATCCTATTTTAATGACTGTTGAATAGATGAGGAAATGGAGATACAGAGCAGAGACGATGTGACTTGCCCAAGGTCAGGCAGGGAGGGAGTGGCAAAGCTATGATTCAATCAAGACTGTCTGTCTCCAGCCCACAGACCAGAAGCTTAGTTCACCCTGTGTAGGATCCTGTCCAGCCCAAGTTCCCTCCAGCCCCTGGGCCAGGTCCTGTCTCCAAGACACAGCCATGGCACCTGGGCAAACAGGTGTCTGAAGAAGATCTCCAGGATGCGGCCCCGCTGCTGCTTGGTCACAGCCCTCCTGAACAGCTCGTTCTCGCTCATCTCAGCCACGTCAAGGCCCAGAGCCCATTGCACACAGAAGTCCTGCAGATGCTGCACGAAGGTGCCCCGCTCCTCGTCGGAGTTAAACAGTAGTACCTGGGTGGGAGGAAACCTGTGCTGGTGCTCGGAGCTTCAGCTCTGGCGCAGCCTCCCCTCAAAAGGACCTTGAGTTTAGGGAAGGGGAGAAAAGCTGCCCCCCCAATCCATCCAGGCTGGAACCAGGTGAGTGGCCCAAGGGGGGGTCAGAGGGAGGGTCACGTGGAGTGTAGGGTCTGCTGAAAGGGTGCCTCTCCCCAGCATTGCCTTCACAGGGGAGCTCTGCAGCTGAGGAGAGGGTGAGTTGACAGGACTGGCTCAGAGAGGGGAGATGGAGGAGCCTTCCAGGTAGGGGAGGCAGGACGGCCATACCAGGTCATACTCCTTGGGGATCTTGAGCAGCAGGGTCCGGCGTCCACAGTTGCTGGACAGGATGAGGTTGACCTGCTGCAGGGGCTGCAGCTGGACCGTGCGGAGCACAGAGAGCCGCCTGTCCAGGACCTGCAGACGCCTGTCTGGGAGCAGCTGGATGGTGATGGGGTAGCTCTTCTCCCTGGGGCCCGGCCACTCCATCGCTGGGGAAAGGACGGTTGGGCAGAGCAGTTCAGCAGAGGTACCCAGGCCCCTGACCTCAAGCCAATTCCACTCTACAGGTCTGAGCAGGCCACCCCAAAGCCTCGCTTTCTCCCCATATCTGTACCCTGGTTTTTCTCCCAGGGCTCCCTATCCGGCCCCCGAGCTCCCTCCCTCCTTCCCTCCCCCCTCCCATCTCACCTGGCACACCATCTTCGGCTGCTTCTTTCTTCACACTCTCTTTGCCTTTCTTCTGTAGCCTCTTGCGCTCTCGGCTCCGGAAATGGGCCACCACCCCAGAGATAAGCAGACTCACTGAAAAGGATCAGAAGGAGCCAGTGGGGAGGGAAGCCCCTCACCTGCAGCTTCACTGAGGGTTCTGCTGTTGCCCCTCCCTTCACAAGGTCCCCTGAGCCGGGCTTTGACGGTAGCAAGCTCGTCCCACAGACCAGCAGGTTATGAAGGGCAGGGACAGTTGGCAGGCAGGGGGACAGGCAGGGAAAAAGAGGTAGGTGAGGGTGTGAAGAGCTCACCAAGCGGAAGACAGCAGAGAGCCACTATGGTAATGCCAAACCCAGGACCGCTGCCCTTGAAGTAGTCCAACATGGTCAGGCGCTCACAGCTGGGCAAGCCTTGGGTTGTGAGCTGCTGAGGCTGAGGGCACGGGGCACCTAAGGGAAAGGACACAGAAGGCCTCAAAGTCTGAGCACCTCACTTATGGCCAGGCACTCCTCCTCTCTCTCCGGTAAAGGACTAGGTACCATTCTCCTTCCAGGCCCACCTCTCTGGAGCTTGTTCCCCTCAGTAAGTTCCCTTCCATAGCCTGTTCTCAGCACCCACCCCAGCTGGCGCACAGAGTGCAGCCTGCAAACTAGTCCAGTCCCTACTAGGGGAGGCAGCCTATTGCAGGCTTCCCAGCACCACCGCGAAGGGGCTGCCTGGCACCTGCTTCCCTGGACAGGACCAAGTGATCCGCTGCCCCCCTCCTTGCTCCTTTCTCTGGTTGCCATTCACTGTGTTCTCCCAGGCCACCCACCTTCATCCCAGATAAAGACATCGGGCTGCAGGGCACTGGGGTCCACGTTGGTAACAGCCACCAGCACATTCCAAAAAGTGGTGTTTCTGATTTCTGCGATTTCATTTTTGGAGAACAGCCTAAGTTGGAGAAAGCCAGGAATTGTTGGGATGGGAAGGGGCCGCCAGCCTCCAGCATTCTCGGACCCAGGGACCCAGATGAGGGAAGAAACTCAGAGGGGCTGAGGAGTGTGGGAGGTCAGCTGGGAATCAAGGGCCCATGGGGCTGCTGATAGCACCTGCAGAGGGCCTGGGGCAAAGGCCAAGGTGAAGTCTGAGGAAGGGACCCAGGCAGGCCTTACCCATTCCTGGTGTTCTCAAACCAGTAGCGGTCGCCATCACGCAGCCTCACAAACTGGTCAAGGACGATGGTGCTGAAGAGGGGCCCGGGGTCCCCATGGCTCTCCAGGAGCCCCCCGGGGAGCAGCTCCAGCAGGGACAGGTTCTGGTTGTACAGGGCAGCTGTGGCCTCCAGCACCTGGGGCACCACAGGAGGTGAGGAGTTTGTGTGTGCACGTGTGTGTGCACACGCGCATGTGTGTGTGAGGGATGGCAGCCACTGTGGCTCCATCCTTCAAACACAGGACTCCGTCAGCTGCCTGGCTTGCTCCTCAGGCCTGAGGGAGTCTCCTCTTCCTAGGCAGTCCCCCTCAGGAGTGGCAAGTCCAATGGGAGGACCAATGTGTCCCTCCCATGCTAAGACCACTGTGAGGTGCCTGAGGACCATATCCTGTGACCACCACTACCCAGACTATCTGGCCCCAATGATTAGCAGCTTCAGGGTCACCCAATTCATGAGGGGGGAGCCTGCAGGAATAGGACAATGGCACCCAACACAGGTCAGCCTGCAGGAATGGTACAATGTAGTGGTGAGGAACATACTCTGGAGTTGGTTGGCTGAACTTAAATCCTGTCTCTAGGACTGACTTACCAACTATGTCATTGGTAAGATAAGGATGATGAGAGTATCTACCCTATAACATTCTTGACGTAGATTAAATGAGTTACACATGTACAGGGCTTAAAACAAGAAAGTTTTAGCCCCTATTGCCATCATTACTATTTCTCACCTGGGGGTCCACATGGGGGTTGATGTCACTCCATTTCTGTGGGGTGTCCAACCCCAAAGCCATCAGGGCTTGCATATAGCTGGGTAGCCCCATATCTCGGCCACGCTGGATACTGCTGGCCACGTAGTCTGTGCGGGAGAACTTGCCAGGGCCGGGCCAGTAGTCTGAGAAGGAGAGAGAACCAGGCTACAGGCCGAATCCTCCTGACCCTGCTTTGCCCAGCAGCCTTACATTAGGCTATGGGCACTACCCGTCCCCAGCTCTCCCAACATGTGACCTGTGCCCATATCAACTTTGCCTCCGGGGGGGTGGAGGGGAATGTTACCATGTGTGATTGGGGGCAGTTTTTCTGGCAAGAATCTTCCCCTGGGACTCAAGACTATTCTAGTCACCAAGTACTGTATTCCCTGTTCTTTACCTCCTTAACCTCAAGACAGGACTGGATGAAAATCTTTAGAGACCTAAGCACCAAGGAGATCATGCTGTCACCCCTCCCCCCACATACTCAGACACAGGTAATTTAGAATAAAAACCACACTAAACCCAAATTAAGCAAAAAAAAGAAGTTAAAAGCTTTTTTCTTCTAATGGCTATTTGCAGTGTGTGGGTCTGTGCCTCCGCATTGTAGGTACCCTAGGGTCTGCCTGTTGATTCACCCAGAAGGGTGCCCAGGCTCCCTGGCCCCTGGGCCTTTATCCCCTCTGGCTCCCGAGCTCACCTCTCAGATCTTCAACCACTATCCTGTCCTCCAGCTCTGCAATCTGGGAGGCCATTCCCAGCAGCAGCTGGTCCACTGCCTGGGCACTGTTCAGGCTGGCGTTCTGGAAAAAAACAATACATTCAGGGTGGGCTCTTGGGCCTCTTCCCAAAGCCTGGTCCCTGTCACCCTAAAGCACTGCAGTCCCTCAGGACAATGGGTCCTTGGCCCATCCTAGACTCTTTTGAGCTGTTGTCTCCACCTAATTTTCTGATCATTCTCCCCTTCATCTCCTACTATCTGGAGCAGCAACACCCCAGAACTGGAATGGTTGCTTTTCCCAGCCTGTGTGTCAAGACTGACAATGACCCACCTTCCCCTGACCCAGACCCCAGGCTGACCTCCCGACGCCAGTAGCTGTTGCAGACTCTGAGAGCTGGGAAGCTGCCAAAACTCTTGTACGGGACCGTCTGGAACTGACAGCTGGCATTTCTGAAATGGGGAATCAAGGATGGGATGAGAACTCAGGGAAAAAGCTGAGATGAGGTTGAGTGGGGTGAGGGACTCAGAGGAGTTTGGCCAAGACTGAGGACTGAGCTTCTTTGAACACAGCAGGGATGTGGCAATATGTGTGGATTGAAGGTATGGGTTGCTCTTTGTCCACCTAGAGTGGGAAGGGAAGGAGGGACAAGAGTACCCAGCTGCTGGACAAATCCTGCTCTCAGCAACTGAAGTTCAGCCATTAGGAGGGGTTGTTAAGTTTGAAACTCCTACCGCAGGGTCCTATTTAGGGTTCCAAATCTGCTTCTCTTCCCCATTAAACCGTGGAAATGTATAAAAGGCTCCAGGCCCCCAAGGTCCTTGACCCTTCACCTCTGTCAGTGTGCTAAGCCTCTCCCACTGCCAGCCCCTCCCTCACCTCATGTAGACCCCAGGAGGCACCATGGTGGAAAAGAACTGCTCAGAGGCCACCAGGAACTCTGGGGAGATGCTGGGGTCCAGGAAAG